CCTCTGCTCCCCCCTTCCTGCCCCCGCCCCCCCCGTGAGCTCTCCCTGTGAAACTCAGCTGTCTGCTAGCCAGCTGGGTAAGGTGGTGGCAGCACCCATCTTCCCCAGCCCCTTGGATGATGGGACTGGAAGTCCAATCCCTCTGGAGGGTTGGGATAGACTCTCCCATTGATCATTTCCGCCCCGGGGTCAGGACTGGGGAAGGACCCAGGAAGCTGGGGAGAAGGCAGACCCCTCCCCAACGGGGAAGCTTTGGGGGGAGGGGGAGGATCCCCATGGCTGCCCAAGGAAGAAACCCACTAGGCTTCCTGGAAAGAGGCCAGGATCTACCTGGGGGAGCTGCGCCAGGGACCCAATGACCTGGACCCCCTCATGGGGAGCATGAGACTTAGACTGTCTACTATTGACCTCACCCCTTTCCTAAGAGGTCTGTAGGGGGCGTGCATAAGCGCACCAACGTGCCTACCGTCCCTGTCCTATTGTTTCTCTTATTCTTCTTTTATTTTTCTTATATGTACCCATTTCATGTATTCACAACTATGTATACACTTATACTTATTATCTTGTAAACAATTGGCAAATCAAATAAATAAATAAATAAAAATAAATAAACTGGTCCAAGGCTGGAGCTGCTGGGAGGAGAACGTGGCCGGATGCGGGACTCCCCACCGGTGGCCCCTCGGCTCTTTTCCCAAAAGGGAAGTTTTGGCCAAGGGGCCACGCAGAGACAACTGGACAACCATCTGGCTGGGGATTTATAGAGGCAGTCCTCCACTTACAACGGTTCATTTAGTGGCCGTTTGAAATTGCAACGGCACTGAAGAATTGGCTTACGGCCGTTTTCCCACACTTGGGGCCGCTGCAGCTTCCCCCTCTGGTCACGTGATCCAAATTTGGACACTTTGCGATTGGTTCATACTTAGGAGGGTTGCAGGGTCCTGGGGTCATGTGACTTTCGGACAACCAAAGCCAAGGGGGAAGCCAGATTCACTTAATAACCGCAGAGGGTTCGCTTAACAACCGCGGCAAGGAAGGTCTAGAATGGGCCCAACCCCATTTGGCGGGCGTTTCGCTTAGTGACAGAAACCTGGAGCTCAATTGTGGTCGTAAGTCGAGGGGCGCACCTGTGCAGCCGCCTTCCACCAAGCAGCCCCCCACCCCACCCTCCGCTGCCAAGAGTTCGGAAGGGGGGATGCCGGCTCTGCCGCGGGGGGAGAAACCGAGGCGGCAGCACCTCCGGCTGCGCAGCCCCCAGGGAAGCCGTTGGCATCCTGGGCCCGTTACCTGCTTGGCTTGTTCCCGCTGATGTTTCTCCAGCTTCTCTGCCTGCAAGGTGGGAAGAAGGAAAGGCTGCAGAGGGCGGGGCATCACAACTCAAGCCCCCCCCCGAGAGGCTCTGTGTGTGTGTGTGTGTGTGTGTGTGTGTGTGTGTGTGTGTGAGCTCAACGCCTCTCACTTCCTAAATCCACCCAAAGACGGCAGAAATAAGAGACTGCCCAGCCCGCCTCTTCACGCCACATGGTCCCAGGTAACCCCAAGTGATTCGGTCAGCATCGTCCCATTTAACGACCCAACGGAGGCACCTGCCGGGCACGAGCCGAACCTGGGAGTCCTCTGAGCTACTTTGGCCAGCTGGCTCGGCTCTACACCCCCCACCCCCACCTTAGAAAACGTGATCCTCAACCCCCCACCCCAACATGCTGAGATCAAAGGCTAGGGAGGGTGGGATAAAAGGCTAGGGTGGTCCTGGCTGCTCTCTGAGCTGAGTGGTCTTCCTGCAGACCTTTTACTAGGGAACCTCATCGGTGCTAGAAGTGGGGGGGCGGGTTTGTGGAGTGCGGGAGGAAGAGGAGGAAGAAAATGAGGACTGTGGGGTCCCGGAGGCCCTCTGAGCTTGCTTCTTTGCTTGCAGACATTTCATAACCCAACTACGGAACGTCACCGGTGCTAGAAGAGAGGGGGGGGGATTTGCTCTTTGCTTCTGTACAGAAGCTTGTCCTCCCAGCATTGCTGGGATGGTGGGTTTTATCCTTGTTCCTGCTTTCTAAGTCTTTCTCTGGTGTTAATTTTACCCTGCTTATCTGGGTGGAGGCTGCAGGGCAAGCTAAGTGCATATAAACATAGGAGAACCCCACACTCCCTCAACACGGACGATGCTCCCTAGCTGGGTCATGCAACGTCTGCAAGAAAACACCAGGGACCCCACAGCTCAACCCTGGGCTCCAAAGCGTCCCTAAGAACAGCCCCCTCCCACCTCGAAGAATACCAGGGTGTGTGTGCGTGTGTGCGCGCGCCATTAGAGCAAAGGCCCACCTGAGCTGCCAGCTGATGCTTGCTGTCCTCGCAGGTGCCGGCCATGGCCTCCAGCTTCTTCTGGGCCTCCTCCGCCTCCCGCTTGCTCCCGGCCACCAGCTTCTCAGCCTCCAGCCGGGCAGCCTCCAGCTCCAGAGCGTGGTTCTGCTTGACCTGGGCCAACTCCCGGTCCAGGCTCTGCCGCCCTTGGGTGGCCTTCTCCGCCAGCTCCCTCTTCTCCTCGGCCAGCTGGGCGTGGGCCTGCTGGAGGGCGGCCAGGCGCTCCACCTGCCCGCTGTTCTCCGCTTGCAGCTGGAGGAGGAGCTGCTCTTGCTGGAGGAGCCTCTCCTTGGCGGAGGCGGCCTCCGAGAGCTCCTGCTTGGCCCTGCTCAGCTCCGCCTGCAGGAGGCCCGCGGTCTTCTGCAGCTGCCCCACCTCTTCCCGGTGCTGGTCCCCCCGCGCGGCCTGCTCCGCCTGGAGCTGCTGGCACAAGCCCTTGAGGGGCACCAGCTCCCCGATCAGAGCCTGAGCTCCGGCCAACTCCTGCTGCTGCCCTGCCAGGAGCTGCTCCTTCTGGACGGCCTTCTCCTGCCAGGCCTGGAGCTCTTGGCCAAGGGCCTCCTCCCGCTTGGAGAGCCCGCTCAGCTCCTTCTTCAGGGCCTCCACGGACAGCCGCAGCTTCTCGGCCTGCTCCTGGGAGCTCTGGGCCTCTGCTTTCATCGCCGAGCACCGCTCTGCCGCCCGGGAGGCCGCCGTGGCCATCTCGGACTGGAGGAGCCTCAGCCTCTCCTCCAGCTTCTTGCTCTTCTCCGACTCGGCCATGACCAGGCGCCGGAGGTCCTTGCTCTCCGCCTCCTTCTCCAGCAGCTGCCGGTGCAGGATGGACCTGTCCTGCTCCAGGCTGTTGATGTGGCCGGCCTTCCTCTCCGCCTCCTGGCGGTAGCGGGACGCCTGCTCTTTCCAGCTCTCTTCCGACCTCTCCTTCTCCTGAGCCGAGGCCCGCAAGGCGGCCAGCTCTTCCTCGGCTCTCGCCACGGCCTTCTGGCTCCGCCCCAGCTCCTCTTCCGCCCGCAGGAGCTCCTGCTTCAGTCTCTCCACGCTGGCCTTGGAGGCCTCCAGCTGCTTCTCCAGCTCGGAGGTCCTCTGCCTCTGGTGCCCGGCTTCCCGCTTCAAGGCCTCCGCCTCGGCGTGCTGCTGCTCCTTGGAGGCGGCCGTCAGCTTCTCCAGTTTGGCGATGGTGCTTTGCTGCTCCTTGCTCTGCTTCTCCAGCCGGCCGACCTGGCCGTGGAGCTCTTTGCCCTCCTTCAGCTGTTTCTCGTAGGCCTCCCGGGTGGAGGCCGACTCCTTCTCCCAGTGGAGCTTCTGCTCCTCCAGGCCTTGGAGGGAGGCGTCCTTGGAGCGCAGCAGGGCTTTCAGGCCACTGATCTCGGCCTCCCGGGTCCTGGCCACCTCCAGGAAGCCCTGCAGCTCGCCCTCCCTCTTGGCTTCCCTCTCTTTCAGCGCCTCCGCCGAGGCCAGCTCCCCTTTCAGCTTGCTGACCGTCTTCTGCAGGTCCCTCAACTCCTCGCAGCGGGAGACGTTCTTCAGGCGCAGCTCCTCCAGCTCCCTCTCCTTCTCGCCCACCAAGTCCTGGGCCCTGGCCACCTCCTCCTGGAGGCCGGAGACCTCCACCCGGTGCTCGTTGGCGAGGTTCTGCAGCTGCGCCTCCAGGGCCACCTTCTGGGCCTTCTCCGCGGCCAGCTCGGCCTGGGCTCGCCCCTCCTCCTCCACCAGCCGCTTGGCTTCCTCCTGGTGCCGAGCCCGCTGGCCTTCCCGTTGCTGCACGGCCTCCTCCAGCCTGGCCTTCAGCTCCCTCGCCTGGGCAGAGGCCTGTTCTACCTCCTGCTCTTTCTCCTTCAGAGCGGACCGGAGGCTGGACAGGCTGGACTCGGCCGTGGTCAGGTCTTCGCTGCTTTGCTCCCCCAACTGCTTCACCCTGGCTTCCAGCTCCTCTCTCTTGAGCCGCTCTTCCGCCAGACTCTTGACGGTCTCGGCCAGCTCCCGAGCGGCCTCGTGCCCCTCCTTCTTGGCCTGAGCCGATTCCTGGCGCGTGGTAGCCACCTGCTTCTCCAAGGCGGCCACTTTGGCTCGGAGCTTCTCTTCCGAGCTCGTCTTCTCCTTGACTTGGGCAACGGACTGAGACAATTTGGCCTGCGCGGCCGCCAGAGCTTCCTGGTGCTGGGCCCTGAGATCTTTCAGCTGAGCTTCCAGCTCTGCCAACTTCTTCTGGTCAGCCTGAAACTTCTGGCCGCTCTGCTCCTGACCCACACCGGCCGCTTGCTCCCTTTTGGCCACGGGCAGCTCCGCCAGCTGACGCTGAAGCTCTTCTAGCTTCCTCCTGGATTCCTCTTCCAGCCGCTGCATCTGGCCTTCCAAGGCCTGCCTCCTGGCCTTCTCCTCCACCAGGCCTTCCTGCGCCTGCTCCTTGTGCCTGGTCAGCGCCTGGACCTGCTCGTCCAGCTCTGTGATTTGCCGGAGGTTGCTCTCCAGGGACTCCGCCGCCCTCCTCTTCTCGTCCTCCAGGATGCCCTCGGTGTTGTGGACGGACTCTTCGAGGACCATCAGCCGCTCCTGGAGACGGGTGTGTTCCCTGGCCAGCTTCTCCTTCTCGGCCAGCTTCTGCTGGGCTTCCCGCAGCTGGTTTTTCAAGGCCGGGACGGCTGCCGCCTGGGCCTCGCTCTGCTGGCCCTGGGCGGTCAGGGCCAAAACCTTGGCCTCCAGCGCCTGGATCTTCTGGCTGGCCTCCATCTTCTCCTGGTGCAGCTCCACAGCGGAAGAGGTCCGGGCGTGCTCCAGGGACTGCAGCCGCTCGGCCAGGGAGGACACCTCGGCTTCCTTCTCCTGGAGCTGCCTGACGGCCAGCTCCTTCTCCTGGGCAATGCGGTTGTACTCTTCCTGGCTGGCGGCTTCGATCTGGGAGACCTTCTGGTTGCTCTGCTTCAGGGAGCCGCTCAGCTGGTCCACCTGGCGGCTCAGGTCTTCAAGGGCTGCCCGGGACCTCTGCTCCTTCTTCTCCCACTCTTCGGCCAGCTGGCTCTTCTGGCTCCGCTCGGCCTCCACCTGCTGGTGCAGCGCCAGCAGCTCCTCGTCCCTCTGGCGCAGGAAGCCCGTCAGCTTGGCGATCTCCGCCGTGAGGCTGTTGGCTTGGGCGATCAGGCACTCCTCCTGGGCCCGGCGGTCCTGCTCCAGCTTCTCCTTGGCGCGGGAGATTTCGGAGCTGGAGTTCTGCAGCTCCGTCAGGAGGCCCGTCAGCTGGGCCTTCTCCGCTTCGAAGCTTCTCCTTTCGGCCTGGAGGTTGGCCTCCAGCAGGCGCTTCTCCTCCTCCAGGCGCAGGGCGGCGGCTTGCAGTTCGACCTGCTGGCTGCTGAGGCTGGCCACTTGCTGATTCAGGCCCTCCAGCTGCAGGAGGGAGAAAGCGGGGACACGCTGGTTATTCCAGAGAGAGGGTGTGTGTGTGCGTGCGTGTCTTTTTCTCGCGCTCTCCGAACTACCGGCTGGGCTTCCCACCCACCCCCCTCTGCGCTAATCTGGTCAGGGCGCCTCCCGACATTAGCAGGCAAACACCGGGCCAGGACGGAGATCAGGACACCAAGCGGTGTTTCTTAGTAGCCACTTTGGGATGGGTAGACTTCAGTTCCCAGAATTCCCCGGACAGCCTTGTTAGCTGGGGTGTTCCGGGAGTTAAAGTCCATGCAACGGAAAGCGGCTGTTGGAAGGGAGGGAAGAAGAAGATGGGAGGGAGGGAAGAAAGGGAAGGAGGAGAAAATAGGAGGGAGGAAATGGGAGAGGGAGGGAGGATGTGGGGAGAAGAGGAGGGAGGGAGGGAGGGAGGGAGGGAGGGAGGGAGGAAGGAAGGAAGCTGAATGACTTTGGGCCTGTCCCCCTCTTTCAGCTCAACCCACCTCGCAGGGTTGTTGTGGGCAAAATAGGAGCCGAAAGACGCCTTAGATATGTTCACTGCCTTGAGTCACTTGTAAAATAATAAAGGCAGGATAACCAATGAAAGGTAAAAGGAACCTGGAGCGAGTTCATCTTCCAGAGGTGGATCCGAGGGGGCACCCCGGGACCCCCACTCGCTCTCACCTTCAAGACGTCCCCCAGGACTTCTCCTTTGACCGGCAGGGAGCTGGTCTCCTTGGTCAGCTTGGCCAGCTGGTCCTCCAGCAGGGAGATCTTCCCCTGCAGAATCTCCACTTTCTCTTCCAGGCACCGCTGGGGAATCCGAGACAGAGACAAGCAATGAGAGCCCACCTGCCCC